AACAATTGTAAAAATAAAAAAAAAAAAAAAAAAAAAAGGATCACAAGTCGGGAAACAGCTGAACAGCTGTGTGATATTCCCATTTTGTATTCATATCCCTGAGATAAGAATGTGTCTCTTGAAAATGACAAGGACCAGGAATTTTTTTTTAATCACCGTGACTGTAACTACTGATCTATAAGGATTTGTTCTTACTGTCCTGTATTGTGCTATTCACTGTCCACCTTTTCTATTATTTTTCCTTCCTCCTTTACATCTTTTGAATTAATAGTCCCTCATTCCATCTTCCCCTCTATTGAAAATTATGTCAGCAATTATAACCTGCACCTTTAAGCCAGTTTGGGTTTAATCTTTTAAACCTTGATACATGCACACATATGTAGAATACATATATGTATGTATATATACGCATACATACATACAGTGGGATGTTCTACATCAATTTAAAAATATCTTTCCAGAGGGTTCTTTATGACCCAGGAGGAAGTGAATGTGGAAACGTGGAGATGTGTAACCATCTCGGTACAGACGCAGGGTACAGACCGAGAGTTGGTTCCGGCTCTCACTTACTCACAGCACTCATCTTCCTGAGCATTTGGGCTGTCACTGAGTCCTTGCCCCTGGGGGAATCAAGCTGCTCATCGGGCAGTGCATATGTAGACTGTCTGAGTGTGTTTCTGCTTAGAGACACTGGTGCCGTGCATACCACGGTCATCTGCACTGTGGCTTGCTTGTCAGTTTGCTCACCTACCCGTGCTCTGTGGAACACAGCACACCTGTGTACCTGGAATTCCTCACATCGCATCAGCACTGTGTGTGGGCAGCTTTTCAGCATGGAAGTCACCCCCCGAAAAAGCACCAGAAAATGGGGGGAAAGGTATCAAACAGATCAACAATCCTCACTGCCAGAGTTTAATCTAGTTCAGCCTCGGCTAGAAATGCTCACTTGTGTGGAGTGACTCTGTTTTTTGTACCTCTGTGAGGATGCACAAATTTTGGGATTGCAGACAAAATTTAGGGTGTAGGCAAATTTACAAACTGAGAATCCATGAGTAATGAGAACCAATTCTGTGTGTGTGTGCAAGCGCACGTGCACATGCGCCTAAGTTTGAATTACATGTTTAAACAGACAGGAAAACCCCCCGAAGTATGCCCACCGAGTCATTGGTATTTCTAGATGGATTGTGGTTTCCATGCTGTCCAGATTATGACCATACACTGACTTTATGTTCCGAAGTTATTGACAGACCCAGTGTGGTCCTGTGTGCCTTTTCCAGCCCTGTTTCAGTGACAAAACCAACAACCTAGAGGCCTATGTGAAGTGGTTCAACCGATTGTGCTACCTGGTGGCCACTGAGATCTGCATGGTGAGTGAGAAGTGGGGTGGGAAGGCACAGCCTAGGACATCTGGGCTGGGGGGGCAGCTTGTGCAGGACCCTCTCCCACCCAGGATGTAACAGGCCTCCTCCCAGAACTCCCCTCCCGCCGCTAGAGCCTGGGCAGTTCCACAGCCAGTGTCATCCGTATCCAAGGCTGCTCTCGGAAGGCGTGGGGAGGTCGCACCCCGGCGGCTTCCTCCTCTGCCTCAGAGGCCAGTGAGTGGCATGTTTGCTTTGGCTCATTCGGAATTTAGAAGTAGAAGTGATCCAGAGTGATCTTTAAGAGTTGGGAGATCACATAGGAGAAGTCCAGTCAGTGGCTTCTGCTGGACAGCAGGAGGCCCCAGCAGCCTGAACCAAGATGCCCTGTCTGTCCTTTTCCCCCAGCACAGGAGCCTGAGCTGAACCCTCTGCAAGGCCGTAAGGTGAAGGGCCAGTCGGGGGCCACTGGTCTCGGGGCTCCTGGGAGCAGGAGCTGAGGCCAAGCCTGGGAGCCATGTTGTGTGTGGGAGAGCAGGGGAGATGGGAATTCAAGGAGGGAAGGCTTCGGTTCCATGCCTTTAGCCCCCACCTGGCCCGGTGCCCCTCAAGGACAGGGCGAGGCCCCCTGGTGAGGGAGGCTCTGTGCCTGTCCCTTCAGATGCCACAGCATGTCCCTTGGTGGCTGCAGAGACTGCTGCTGCCCTGTGCGGCAGGTGAGCAGAGTCCATGTGGGGCACCTGGCCCCGGCACGCCCTCCGTTCATGTCCCTGGCCTGAGGGCTGAGGTGGGTAATGAGTGGAGCCAGGACAGAGCGCACCCAGCAGGCTCCAGGGAGGACGCGGTGTGTCCAGGGCCCTCGGAGATTGAGAGCTCCCAGCACTCGCCCTCGAAGGGCAGCCACCAAGCTGCTCCTGACCATATCTCGGGCCCCAGCTGTGCTGCAGATGGCTCTGGGCCCCCGGGAGCCCCTTTCCCATCCAAGCCTCCCAGTAGGAGCCCTGCTGCTCTGGAGTGCTTGTGCTGAACCCTGGGCCTCAGCTTCTCAGTGGTGGAGTGTCCTTGGACAGGGTCCCGAGGGCTGGGCCGGCGAGCAGGCTGAGGGAGCAGGGCAGAGCTGAACGTGTCATTGCTGACGCTGGTGTCTGTCCCCAGCCAGCCAAGAAGAAGCAGAGGGTTCAGGTGATCGAGTTCTTCACTGATGTGGCCCGAGAGTGCTTCAACATCGGCAACTTTAACTCCCTGATGGCCATTATCTGTGAGTGGCTGCCCAGGCCCAGGTCTCGTGTGAGGACCACGGGGTGGGTGGCAGGGCCCGCGGGGCAGGCAGGTGCTAGACAGGCCCTGTCTGAGCGGTATGTGGCCAATGCCCACGGCCCTGCCCTCTCAGGGAGCCAGTGAAGGCTGCGCAGTGTGTCTCCAGATGCAGACAGAATGAGGGTCCGGGGCAGGCCCGTGAGCTGGACACCCGGTCAGTCTGCACACACAAGCCGGGCCCTCAGCCACCGCAGCTCTCAGTCCTGGCGGGGTGCACACTGTCCAGGCCCAAGGAGCCCTCCCCAGCCCACCCTCCTTCTTGCAGCTGGTATGAACATGAGCCCCGTCTCCAGGCTGAAGAAGACCTGGGCCAAGGTGAAGACGGCCAAGTTCTTCATCCTGGAGGTAACCAGACTGCAAGGTGGAGGGCGCAGCCTCTGGGCCTTGACAGAGGTGCCCAGTGCCTCCCTGTCTCCTTCCAGCACCAGATGGACCCAACGGGGAACTTCTGCAACTACAGGACGGCCCTCCGCGGGGCAGCCCACCGCTCCCTGACCGCGCACAGCAGCCAGGAGAAGGTAGGTTGGCGGCCCTTCCGCTCCTCCCTGCTCCAGAGCAGCCTGGCCAGGTGTGGCAGGTACTGGCTGACTTGGGTTACTACAGCAAACACGGGAGGGCCTCTTAGAAAGAGAAGGGCTCGGCTTTGCCTGGACTTCGAGGTTCCGGTCTGTGATGGGCTGGCCTGTTGCTTTTGGGCCTGTGGCAGAGTAAAGCGCTCACTTCATGGCCAGGAAGTAGAGAGAGGAGAGGAGGGGCCGGGGCCCTGCACCCCCTCGGACCTAGCGGCACTTAGGGTCCAGCCTACGGCCGTGCTGCCCCTGAGGTGACCCGAGGTTGTGGTCACACTGGCCCTTCCGCAGCGTCTGTGGTGTCGCTGTTGCCTCGCTTGCTCTCCTCCAGTGTGGGGGCCCCACCTCCCAAAGCAGGCCAGGCCCCTCAGCAGCCCCTCCATAAGGCCTCTTCACGGGCCCCCGCTGTCCAGCTGGCCCCTTCCTCTCAGGGACAGGGACTGTGGGCACTGGGCCCCTCGTCCGCCCAGCCCTTGGTCCTCTCCAGCTTGTTGCCTGAGTTGACAGCTGCGGGCCACGCCCCTCCCTGCTCAACCCCACACAGCTCTGTCAGTCAGAATCCCTTGTTTCAGGTCAAATTTCAGTTCCAAGCACAGAGGGTCTTGTGCCTCCCTCATTCTAAGTATAATACTTTTAAGCCGGGCGTGGTGGCGCACGCCTGTAATCCCAGCACTCAGGAGGCTGAGGCAGGAGGATCACTGAGTTCAAGACCAGCCTGGGCTACATAGTGAGTTCCAGGTCAGTCTCAACTACATAGTGAGACCCTG